TTATCATTTTGGAGTTGGCTGAGCCATCGTAAGGCCTCCAGTTTGGAAAACCTTCCCTTCTGCCTAATCTAGGCTATGCTTCCTTTTACAGGATGTCTAGCTGCCTAACTTCATCACTGCGTCTGCTAAGGGGTAATAAATACATAGAATAGTAGATACCAGAAGCAGAAGATACTAGAGTGCCTGATGAAGCAGGTAATAAGATACAGCATGCACTAGTGAATGTGGTGCATAAGACTTTTGTGATTTGTAGAGGAAAGAGTAGCCCATTTTCTAAGTAGTGCAAAAGACTACCACACCAGGTTTGAACTGGGACAGCCCCCAGGGAGAAAACTTCCTGAAACAGGTACAAGCAGTAGTTCAAGCAGCCCTGCTATGTGGGCATATGATTGATTTGGTGAGACTGATGCTCTTCAATACATTAGAGGTAGAAATAAATGTTATGTGGAATTTTTGGCAAGTGCCAGTGGAAGAATTGCAATGAAATCTCCTGCTTTCTTGATCAATGCAATGCCATAATGTCATATACAGTACAAAATTGTATATATTAAAAAACAAAAGAAAAGAAAAAATACCTCCTGGCATTCTCTACTGGAATCTGCATCATTACAGTTTACTCCATTTGCCTAATACTGCTTCTTCCTCACTCTTTTCAAAAGTGTTGATCCCTAGTAAACACTTTGAACATTAGTCTGCAAAGAAAAGTTGCTTTTGATGGAATGAACAATATTTGATAGCACAAGAAAGCAACTATGATCAACAGTAAGTTAGGGTACACTTTATAATAACTAAACAAGTTAGGAATGTTCCTAACACAAAGAAATGATAAATGCCTGAGGCAATGTATACTCCAATTACCCTGATTTGATTAGTACACACTATACACCTGTATCAAAACATGACATGCACCCTAATGATATACAACTATTATGTAGAAAAAATAATTTAAAATAACTATAAAGCAATGTCACTTCTATAGACATATATTTATAGAAAAGGGATGTATGATTGATTTACTTATAAAGAGCCAATCAGAGGTACTATAAAATAATCCTTTCCATTATTGCACCTCTGCGAAATTTCAACATTCTCTCCACTCTAAAGTTTTGGTGCATGAAATACTAATGAACAAGACATACTAGAGCTTATAAACTAAGATAAAAGATAGATCACAGAGTTAAAATAGAATAAATTTAATATAAAACATACTACATGTTAAAATATATACAGTACAATATAATGTAAGAAATAGGATGTCACTTGCCAGTCACTCATTCTGGGGGAAGAGGGAATCTCAGTGTGAGAGCACTTCCAATGAGTGACCGCAAAAGCTTGTTGTAGGTGGTTCAGGGTAAAATAATTCTGGACAGTGTTAAATGGACCTGAACCTGTCTGATGGAATAAATGTGAGTAAGGTTGAAAGGTTACATAAAATGACACAGTGACTCAATAAAACCACAAGGCTCAATGGCAATATGTGTGATTAAGGTAGAAAGTTTAAGTCAAAACTATGTTATATGTTCTGATAATCAGATCATTGCTGTTACTTTACAGTAAACTTCACTGTGATTATTTACAGGACATTTCACATTTCTAGAAGCATAAATAGTTTTTATCATGAAAATCTTCACTATATTTTTACAAAAATGAGAAAGAATAGTAAATGCTAGAAACACATGTCTTAGAATGTTAGAAGTGGTCCCAGTGGAGTTACTCAGCTTCTCTCCCAGACTAGCCATTGTTATTTATGTTCTCTTTTTAGTCACATATTTGCATTTATGCCTGTCATTCAATATGGGGGCTACACTAAGGAAAGCTTAAAAATATGTTTTTATATATAAAATGAGATCATGTTGCCATTTGATATATTAAAGCTTGAAATAAATCACATTACAAAGGTGCACAATCTCAAACAGAAACAATAGCACCAGCCCAGCCATAGAAACCTGTATGGAAAATTGAGTGGGCATGTTTCTGCAGTGCTGGAATTCAAGCAGTACAATTCATAAAGAGAAAAAAGAGACCTCAAATACTAAACGATTGAGAGGAAGACAGGCACCCTTGCAGAGCTGAGTAATAAGAGGTTGAACTGGGTCTAGAACTCTAGCCATGAGGCTTCAAACTCCACCTACACTGCCCTTTTCCAATCATTTAACCAGAAGACTAGAGGGAGAAAAAAAAAAAAATCTTATCATTGGACTGGTGAGTCTTCCACCCAGGAGAGTGTGCTGTGATGTCTCTTCTCTTCCTGGTAGGTGAAGATAATTAAAAAAGATGAATAAAATCCATTGGATGTTTTTTGCATAACAGATGAGAGGAAGGGTCTGGCATTTCTATCCCCATTTGGACTTCTGCTTTTATAGAAGACTTCTATCTTCTATGTGTCTTTGAAGTGGGGTAAAAGAAAAGTGGAGAAAGAGAACAACTCTGAAGAAACTAGGTTCTTACATTTCAGCTTAGTAAAGATGTGGAACTTTTCTCTGGGTCAAGTGAATATTACATAAAGAAAGTGGGCTGCAGTTACACTTAAAATGAAAACTGTTTAAGACAAGGGTGAGGAGCCTTCTAATGTGTTTGCACCCTAAATGTGCACCCTGAAGTCATGTATTCAGGTTCTTGTACCACAGAGACTAGATGTCAAGATGACCCAAAGAGACCTACAGCACCAGAAAATTAAGAGATATTTGACTCCTTTCCCCTTCCCAAAAGAAGATGTAGTTCATGCTTCCTCTAATCTCTCCAGGATATGGTCTAGCTGTCATGGGGGTCAAAGAAAATATTAATGCAAAATTAGACATTATTATAAGTTTTAAACTGTGCAAAATGACAAATGAACTTTTTATATACTTGAAGATGGTCATAAATCCCTCATGTCTTCCAAACACATGATTACATAACAGAAAGGGAGATTCAAAAAGAATGCCTTAAAGAAGTAATTAGATTTAAAAAACAAAACAAAACAAAAAACCCCAAAACTCATGTTTGTACTTTGCTGAGTTGAGATCATCCAATGCTTTGATTACATAATTTAAAGTACTAATTAACAGATCTACGAAAGAAGAGTCAGACATGGAAACTGGAAAAAAAAAAAATTATTGATGCAGACTTTTTCCTCAGATAAAAGAGAGCAAGCTCCAGTCATAGGATTTTGAGTAATTTTCATCTTGTTGGCAAGCTTTAAAGCTCTCCCAGTGTGAAGCCATTAAACATCTTATTTATGAAGCTTCCCTTGCTCATATTCTGGATTCACCAGACAAGTTTCTGACTCATATTTTATTTCCTACATAATACAGTAAAGGGTAAAGAAGGTACTTTCATATAGACTCTGAACATTCTAATTTCTGGGCAACCATTTTTCATTTTAAATTAACAAATGTGTTTTGCTATTATATATCAATCTTATAAACATTGAAATCTGCTTTAGATAGATGGATATATGTGCTCCAAAGTCAGGTTTTGTACTTGATCAACTTGGCCTGATCAAGGCCATTATAAGTTCTACATGGAATTGCAACTTTGTAAGAAATCTGGGCAGGGTCTATTAACATTCTCTCCAATGTGACAGGGGTCAGATGGTTGTCATTCAGCACCCACACTGAGTTTTCCGCAGTGTGAGAAATAATTCATTGTGCCTTTCTGTGTCTTACCTACCAACCTCTCTTCTTTTCTCTCTCTTAATAAAACCAAATTATTTTCTAAAAAATATTATTTTTGGCATCCAAGTTAATATTTTTTTCTATAGTATTTGGCCTCACTCAGTTATTCTTTTCTGGGCATTGTCTTTATAAATCTCTACTGAACCACATAGCATGTGCATTAAGAACATTATTCAAATAGTTGATCATTAAAATAAATAATAAAAGATCACCTGTTTAAGGACATTATTTGAAGCAGGTGGTAAATAACTGATGCCTCATTGATTAATACTTCTTATATATCTCTATCAAAAACCTGTAGTTATTCTCAGTGAAAACTGAAGAAGCTAGTGTCAACAAAGATGAGACTAGAATGATTTAATTTCTTCCCTCTTCAAGTTCACTGCGATTGAAGTTCTCTCTTTTCTTCTCAAGAGAGCTTTGCCTTTTACTGAACCCCTATGCCATATATGTTAGGGTCAAGGAAGGATCCTTATAGGATGTACACTATGATGCATTAATTTCCTCACTATTTTCTACTACTCTTTTGGACCACTCAAAGTAGTTCTATGTCTTAACCAACAGAGTCCAATACTGGTAATTTCTTATTATTTCCTACTTTATTTTTCTCTCCTCATAATGAGGAAAAAAATCCCACATTTTCGGAACATGATCAAATTTTCCACAATTGAAAAGAAGTTCTGTGAATTGTTTTGCCTTCTTTATAGAAATATAAAAGTAAATATACAATGCTTACCACTTCCGTCAGATGTGGGTTGTGGAGGAGAAGGGCATACCTCTAACCCTTGCTAGGGAGAGGCAAAGATATAAAATGCAACCAAAATGTTTGTACTCATATTTTCTTGAAATAAAATAAACTAAAATAAATTAAATTAAAAAGCAAATATAAATATGAAGGTAAGCATAAAAATATAAAATTCTATAAAAATTTCTGAGGTGGCTTAATGAATACACATATAAGACAATGGCATTTTATAGTATGACTTTAGCACCCACTTATGGAAGAAATATTAGTAAATTAAACACAAACACACATTTTAGAATACCCAACCATCGTATCTAACACATCAGAAGGCCTCTTTTAACCAACAAAATTTTAAACGGTAACTTTCCCACCCCCCAAGAATAGAACTTTGCTGATTCTATTAAGCATTTCCATCTAAAGATGGAAACCTTTCCACTCTGTATTGACATTATTCTCAAAAAGAATAGAGCAGTGAAAATGTCTTCCCAGCATCACTTTATTGAAAGAAAAAAATGCTGAAGGAAAATAAAAAGCTAATCACACAGGTATATTGAAGATAAGTTGGAATCAATCAATACATTTTGAAATTACTGACTCACTTTGAACTCCATGGGAGCGTACTATTTTCCAGATTTCTGACGCCACTTCTTTGACATCCACCTGATAGTGATGAATAGGCACACCTCCATGGGAGTCCGGTTTGTTGAAAGAAACCTTGGCTGTGGTCTGTGACAGCTCTATAACCTTCACTCCATAGGGACTGGATGGCACATCTGTGAAGAAACAAACACAAAGGAAACATAACAGGTAATGTGGGTAGCCATTATTAAGACTTATGATTTTATGAGAATTAATAATGAAGGAAAATGGCTGCTTATATCATTTAATAGATGTGAGTTTCAGAGCTTGCATAAACACCTGAATAATAATCTTCAAATTATAAGAGAGTACACACAAGTCAATTTTTATTAGCACAGCAAATAAAAAAGTAAAACATTCAATGTCACATTTCATTTATTGAGGTGATATATTAGTTCTATATTTTCTGAACAATATAAACATTGTATTTGATGTTTAAAAAAACTAGTGTGTGTTTATGTTTGTATGTGTGTGAAAGAGACAGGGAAGGAAAAGATAGAGATAAAAGAGATAAAAGGTAATATTTAAAATATAAGAATACCTTTATTATTCAATCATTGCCATAAATAATAATATCTTGTGAAAATGTAATTTTTTTTTGTTTAACAAAATTATATTACCTTTGGCCAAGTGTTAAGTATAGAAAAAAAATGTTAGTATTCTGAACTAAATAAAACTGCAAAATGTCTAGTCTAATTTCATTTATATATTATATAATTTAAGTAAAACTGTAGTTGTGATATTTGTCTCATTAAATTATTTTAAAAACAGCTATAAAATTTTTCTAGTACTTGTTATTACATCAATCTATTATTTACATCATTTAAAGTTCAATCTCTTGGGGGAACCCTTAGTTTCTAATATGCAAACTTTTAAGAAAGAATTAGCTCAAAGGCAGAACAAGCAAAATTAGAAAATAAGAGAGAAAAAAATTTTAATGAGGAAATAAATGAAAACCGTACTCCAGAAACATCAAGTTTAGAGGCACATTAAACATTAAAGGAATTTCTCACTCTATCAATCTCGCTCTCTCTTTCCCATACATCACATTTGAAATAAACTTTGGAAAGGAAAACAAATATAACTATTTTCAGAGAAAGAATATATTATATATCTCTCTATATATACTTGATTGACAAAAATAAAGTAAATGTAAATTTCTGTTCTTGATTGAGTATTCAGATAGAAGTCTCAAATGTCAGTCAAAAGTCAAACGTGCTTTATTTGCTGGAGCTAAAAAAGAGTACTGTAGATCACAAGAAATTATGCCTTATAAATGGTACTGTACAAGAGCCAGGGGGGTAGCTTTATGGTGTTTTGTTTGTGAATATTGTAAAGAAATGTCACAGTGTATATTTCAGCTATAATTAGTAACTGTAAATTAGAGAGTCTATGAAGTACATTATGTTATGACTGTCAGGTTCACAAACACATTTGTAGAAAATACTGATGCAGCCAAAAGCCATAGTACTATTAAAGTATTGTCTGGAAATATAATTTTAAGTTATTTAAATGATACGTTTAAACTGTTATATGTAAACAGTCTAATAGTTTTCATGTGTCTTTAATCTCTAAATTAATCTATAGTTCTTTTCTTCTGTAAGTTTGGTCCAAAAATTTCATCTCTAGGTTTGATCCAAAATAGAGGAGAAAAACAATCGCGCATGGATGCCCTTATTTAGATTGTCAATTCTTCAATTTATACTGAGTGATTTTCTAATGTCCATTAGGTCTAAGTTGGACATCACAGTGATTATAGTCTTCAGTTTTGAGACACACATCAAAAGTGAAGGTAGTATATCCTTAGGAATGAGGAGAGATATTATTTTCTTGGGATCTCACCTTTGAATACATGGCAGGTATATGATTATTTATTCTTACTCTGACTGTAGAGGTGTGCACCATTCATTAACCTGTGTTCCTGACCTGGTGCATGAACAGAGAAACAAGATCTTTTTTTTTCATAGCACAAATGTCCAATCATCAAAACATAGGCCAATGACTACCCTTTTATAGCCATATAGTCTATTTTCAATGACTCTAGTTTTTTTGTTTAATTTATATTATTTTTTGGCCTCTGCTTTCTGTTATTTTATTAAAAGCAAAAGCATGCTTATGACTTGCAGCACTAGTATCTTTCTAAACTTTTTTTAACATTCTGATTTTTTGTCAGCCACCAAATGTCTACTAAATTATAAGTATTTTTGAAAAAGAGACAAATATTTATATACACAGAGACATGCAAACATATATTTATACATACATACATGTAACTTTGAGCACAGTGACTAGAATATTGTGTCTTCAGGAAATATTTAATGAATTAGATATTTCAGTAATTAAAAATAATATGCAAGGATATAGAATATGTCCAAGGGAATAGTGTCTGATGTGCCTAGAATCAATACCACTAATTCTTCAGTCTCTCGATTATTTTCTAGTTGCCTTCATCCTTGATTCCTATCTATTATATACATTTCAATTAGTCAAGATATTATTTTAATAATTTCTACATTGTGACCCTTGTATCTATTTCTTCCCATTTCCTCAATTAACTCCTAAACTCTAGCCCTGTCTGACTCTGCCTGCAATGTTATTAATGGCTCTCAGCTTCCTTTTCTATTGGTTGTCCCACAAAAAATTCAATCCATATGACATGCAAATGCAAAATCAATCTGTCTACAGAACCACTCTAATCACCTCACTTCCCTGAGAAGAGTATTCAGGAGCTTTATTCTTCTTACAACATCAATCTCAGTCTTTTCAGTTTTATGCTTAGGATCCTGGGTTATCTAACTAACTGAGTATATGCAAAAAGAAGAGCATATTGTGAAAGACTATCAAACACAGCCTTGTATTTCAGCTGGGGCTTATGGGTGTTCAAGCTCACACACAGTTCTCCCCTCATTGTTACCATATTTTTCTAAACCATTTCCTAGTATTTGTCATCTCAACAGTGAATGAATTCTACCCACCACTGAATGAAAACAATTGTGCAAATATATATTTATTTAATTACTTTCTTTTTACCTCTACTAGTGCACACTAGTGCTGGTATTATGTTAGATTAAGAGACTGGGTATGTTTCTCAGATCTATGGATCCAAGGAATGGCCTTGACACTTTTGTCAACTGCAACAGTGGACAACCCTTTAATTCTGTGGTCCCCAATCCCTGGGCTGTGGACCAGTACTGGTCCATGACTGTTAGAAACTGGGCTGCATCGCAGGAGGTGAGTGGCAGGCCACCGAGCTAATCTTCATCTGTATTTACAGATGGTCCCTATTGTTCACATCACCACATAAACTCTGCCTCCTGTCAGATTAGCAAGAGCATTAGATTCTCAGAGGAGCATGAACCCTACTGTAAACCGGTCACATGTGAGGGATCTAGGTTGTGCGCTCCTTATGAGAATCTACTGCCTGATGATCTGCAGTGTAACTGAGGTGGTGAGGCTAGCACTGGGGAGTGGCTGCAAATACAGGTGATCATTAGTAGAGAGGTTTGACTGCACAATAAATATAATGTGCTTGAATCACCCTGAAACCATGCCTTTCCACACCTTGTCTATGGAAAAATTGTCATCTATGACACTGGTCCCAGGTACCAAAAAGGTCCCTGGTACCAAAAGTTGGGGACTACTGCCTTAATCTTTCACATATCAGTATTTTTCTCTCTAAAATGAAGGTTAGATTAGTACCCACTGCTAGAGTTACTGGGAGTATCAAGTAATGTAGAGCACTTAACAGAAACTGGGATGCATTAAGCACTTAGTAAATGTCAGTTATTATAATTTTTGCTAAGGATTCCTGATAACTATCCTCCTTACCTTATGTTCTCTTTTTATTCATTGACATCAATGTTTTAGTCAAAAGGTAAGTAATGGATACAATATCTTAGTTCAGCTTAGAAATTTTATGCTGTGTATAAATAGCAAAGAGCTAGTGCTATGATTTAGGAGTCAGGTAGGAACAATCTCTGGTGTTGCTGTACGGAACCCGGGTAATTAAATTAATTTGGCACTAGTTTCCTCATAAGTAGAATAGTAATGATAATGCCAACATTAAAGTTGTTATGAAAATAAATTGATGGATATAAATCACTGGGCATTCACAAATACTATTCTCACTTACCCTATCCTTAAAAATAGTTATCCATGTACAAATAATGTTGGTAAACATGTTATATTTATACATATACCTTTAGTCATGGTTTGGTCAAAGTATAAATGTGAAACTTACTAAAATGTCTGTTTTGGTGATAATTTTACCATGTAACAGGTAGAGGAATAATGAAAGGAGTTGCTCCTCTGATGTTTCTTTGATAAAATAAAGACATACAATTAAATAAACAGGAACTAATAAGTGAAATGAAAGTGCATGAATCCTTACAAAAAAGGAAGAGGGTAACAATCAAATATATATATATATATATATATATATATATATATATAGAGAGAGAGAGAGAGAGAGAGAGAGATATTAATGGAAATGGATTTGAAAGAGTAAAGAGCACATGAAATATTATCTTCCTGTCTAACAATAACAACAAAAAAGCTTCTGAAATGAAGATTCAATATATAAAAAAGTCTTGAGAGGATAGGCCCAAAGGTACTAATGTGGGAGAAAAGGAAGGGAGCTAATGAATACTATACAATGTGGCTGTAAGGAGATCGCAATGAACACATATTTTAATAACATTTTCAAAATGAAGGAGAATTAGCATTTCCCAGGCTTCAGAATAAACTGAGATTATAAAATGTTGAGGACAAAAATGACAAAGATTAGTTGTCCATATGTGTGTGCATGTGTATGTGATGTGTTTTAGCTCCTTCTCAACTGCAGTCTCAATTCTCAGCAATTAAGCAAAAATCAACATCAAAAGTGAAAAGAGGAAACATAAAGCAAGTTCATGGAAATTGTACACTATCACCTCATTTTTCCTACTTTATTGAGGTATAATTGAAAGATAAAAATTTTTATATGTTTAAGGTATCCAACTTGATGTTTTGATATGTATGCACTATGAAATAATCAGAACAATCAAGCTAGTTAATATATCCATTATCTTATATAGTCACCATTGTGTATGTGCATATGTGGTATATGCGTATGTGATGAGAAAACTTAAGATCT